TAGTCCAGTACATTGATAGCAATGCATGGTTTTCCAAAAAAATGGCTTCAAAATCACCCTAATTTTTATTACATTCTCTCAAACACATTACTGCCCTTATGCTGTGTAGAAAGTTTGAGTTGATTCCAACTTCAATTTTTTGAGTTACGACCATTTTAAGAAATGCCAAAATTCTGAATACCCAAATTGCTCCAAAAGCACCCACAATTTTTTACAATTTCAATACACGCATCAATGTTCTTGTACTACATCATAACCTTAAATACTAAAACTACACTGTCAGCAAATAAACTAACATTATATATTGATGAAAGGTGTGCCTGTATGTACACATTGTACAAATAGTGACGTCACGACCTATTTTACTTGGGGAGGGGCTAGACCACAAAAGAAATTATAAATATCCCAGATAGTACATCAACTGTGCATCACAAAGTGTGCAGTAAAAGAATGAAGTTGGCCATTGCAAAGAAAATCGAGGATGCTGTTTTTATTGTTCTTCTTATTGTGGTGCTGGGCTTATTCACAGTTCCAATAATAGTCTACTATAGATCTACTTCAGTAAGTTTTCAAGAATGATACTAGATCTAGTCTACAAGTGATATCTTAACAAATTCTTGCATGCATATAAATCTAATGCTTATTTCTCTATAGCGTGTGTAATTTAAAGTAGTTTATTTTAAACTTCATTGTTTTACAATAATACATAAGTAGTATATCTAAATTCCTTTGAGCCATCTGAGGATATGTAGATATGTAGTATGACACCACAGGTTGGCACACTTGCACTATAAGCATGAAGTATCACTTAATTGTATAATACACAATCTGGATTTTAGGTAAAGAACTTTAAATTTGTTCCACAATAAATCTTTGCTTCAGTTTAGTGCAAAAAAGGGAGAATAGCATTCTTTTGTAAATAGATCTAAGTTGCGGGTCTATTATCCGATGATTTGAGTTATCAAAAACATTGATTACAAGCTATGTGAACCATGATAGTTTTAGAAAAACAATAGCATCAATAAACATCTACTATAAGTATAAAATGTTTAAGACTGGCTTCAACAAACTTTCAATTTAGAATACATATGATTCAGACAACCACAACAATGGGAATTTTAGCGAAGGAACAATCAGCAACAACAATGTAAGCCAGAACTGCACCGAACTATCATGGAGTCAGGATAATGATGCCTCAGAATGTTATGAGTATACTGGAACTGCTTGTAGAAACTTCTTAAATCAATGGTTTCAATGTACCATTGGAGAAGGTGAATTGAATACTAGTATTGGAGTAAGTCAACATGAACAAAATCAGCTTGAACAGACAATTGCATCACTCAAAACTTATTTAGGTAATGTCACAGCATTATAAGTAAATTTATTAATTCAGTTTTTATAGAGTATTACAAGCAATGTCAACAACAATCATCAGCTTTTATATGTCAATATTTCTTTCCACTTGCTGATTGCTCAACTGGAAAATCTTACAAGGCTACCAAGGAAGACTGCCTCCTCATAAGTACAGGTGTTTGTTCAAACTTGTGGACACTAGCAAACAACTTTGGGTATGGCTCACTCTTACCTGATTGTACTACACTGCCAAATGGCAAGATAATTTTATCCATTTCTAATAATTTATACTTTATACAGCTGCCAAAAATTCATCTTCTGTCACAATTCCCATTGACGGCATGAATGATACCAATGGTACTGATGGTATAGTGTGCAGAGAAGATTTTGTTAAAACGAATTTAATCTGTGAGCCAAGATGTGACAGTTTTGAACAAAGCTCTCATTTAGACGCACTGATAATGATTTATTCAGAAGTATTTGCAACTAGCATGGGCTTAATTTTTTGCGTTATTGCAATTATAGCTGCTGTTAAGGAATACAAAACATCGTTAGTGTCTATTATGAAGTATTTCCTCATGTAGTTTTGTTATTATATGACAGGCTTGTATATCCTTCTGTATTGGTATTTTATCAAGTCATAGATATGACTGCATTGGGTAAAGTGTAATGCAATCTTACGCTCATTGTATACATTCAAATTATAGTTATAGTACTAATCATAACTGCTATTGATCGGTATGGATTATATTGCAGTTCAGTTAGTCTATTGGAGACATTAAATAATCCAACTCCTTTTTGTAAATTTTCAGGTAAAGAATTAACTACACAGTAATTTAAAACTTTTATCCTCATTGTATAGGAGTTGTATTTCATTATGTTATTGTAAATATGGCACTGTGGTGGTTCTTTCATGTTGCTATGTTCTTTCACAAAGTATTTTTTCCCTTCCAAGCGAATAGATTTGAAAAGTTGGGCCGTGAAAAGTATATATTCGCAACTGTAACCATTTTATGTGAGTATACATTATATTTATTAATTGTGAAATGATCACTTTCATTTATAAAGCTCTACTACTTCCATTGCCAGCTGTTATCGTTTGCCTTTCTGTTGACAAATTCAAATATAATGTTCATCGTTTTCCAACAACTCTTTGCATTAGTGATGGTGACATGTGGTTCTACTCTACAACACTTCCAATGGATATATTACTAGCTGCTGGAGTAATAATGCTAATTATGATTCTTTGGACTATGAGAAAGGTATGCATGTACCAGCACATAATCATTAATTTTATAAAATAATGCTAATTTTGTTTTTGTTAATAGAAAACAAATTTCTTGAACAGGAATAGTCGTACTAAGCTTAGCACTGCTGAGAAAAAAATCCTCTTGGTTTTTACATCATTTATTGTTTTTGGTGTTTATATTTTAGGGCATGTAAGTGACATAACAGCAAAATCTGGAAAGTTTCAAGCAGCTTTAAGAGAATACTTTGAATGTGAAGCATTTGGTCATATCCCTGGAAAATGTGATAGAGAAACATTTGATAAGATCTATAGCCCATACACAAGTGTTATTGCATACATACTAATGAGTTTGATACCGTTGAGCATTTTGAACTTCATACTTAAGTGGAGCTCAGTCAAAATTGCAAAAAATAAAGTAATAAAATTGACAAGGAGGCATTTAAGTTTCTTGTATCATGGAAAACGCTCTTTTGTAACTTCCTCTGAAAGTGTTTCTGATGAGTTATCATCAAAATCAAGTAAAAGTACAAAGATTACTGAAAACACTACTGTGTAACTTTAATTGCTGATAATTTTGACTTTTAACTACTGTGTGTGATTTTTTTTTGTATTAAAACTTCTTAGTAAATGAAATACTGAGTATGATCACTTTTAAAACCAGTTACAATTTCTCCTAAGACGACATAGACAGAACAAAACTGTCTAGATAAAAAGGCGTGCCCATATTATCTACTTTCTGGAGTTTACTCTAGTTCAGACTAGTTGACAAGCTATAGGTAAGTGTCAGCTAGAAAAGATGTGCTGCTGGGATAGAAATAAACAGAAAAGTGTTTCTATGCTCAAACAGCCGAGCAAACAGCTTATTCCCACAATAGAATAGGGTGTGGCACTTGTCAACGTGATCGTGATGTAATGATGATTCATATCCTCAATTAAAATCATAATAATTATTGTGAAACCAAGAATACACATCAATGTCCTTAAACTTATACTAGGGCTACACAAAGGGTGTGCCCTGACTGTACTTCAATTCCTGGAGTTTAAATCTACAAGTGTCAACTAGAAAGGATGTGCTACTGGAATAGAAATAAACAGAAAAGTGTTGCTATAGGAAAGAAGATTGAGAACATTGCATTTATTGTCACCATTGTCATAGTGCTGGGCTTATTCACTCTCCCAATAATATTCTATTTTACTTCCGTAAGTTTATAATATTATTTTTAAAAGTAGCAAATAAATTTTTAATTAATTTATATGGTTAAGAAAATATAATTTTGGGTAGAAATAGATCTGGATCTAATATGGGTCGTGGATGTCTACATTCATCTTTGTGTATTCAAAATGATCTAGATCTTGAATCTACATCTCCCAAAATACCACAATACATATTGTTATTGTTAGCAATGTTTTTTCTGACAGTGAAATTGCTGTTTAGCTACATATTTTGCCTGAAATAAATAGGTTTTCTTGTATTTCAAAGCTACTTGATGACAATGACTAATTGACCATTACCACAATTTGTTGTCATATGGCATGCAGGATGTTATGGTAGTTATATTATGAACCTACTGTAAAATGTATGAATTGTGCCAGCCAATAATGTTATTTTGGTTTTGCAACTGAGCAAGCAAGTAATCTATGATATACATAGTAAAATTTATGTATGGTAAAATTTATGCATAGTGTAAAATTTTGGTGGCAATAGCTTAAAAAACATCTAGTAACAGATCTAAATAATTATCCAATGGATGGTTAATTACATAACCGTTAATTTTTGTAAAGAGTCATAACAGGGACACCTTTAACAATGTCAGCATCTATTACAAAGGATGGTATAGCAATATAAATGACATAAGCCAAAACTGCACCAGACTATCATGGAGTCAGGATAATGATGCCTCAGAATGTCATGAGTATACTGGAACTGCTTGTAGAAACTTCTTACATCAATGGTTTCAATGTACCATTGGAGAAGGTGAATTGAATATTGGAGTAAGTCAACAAGAACAAAATCAACATGAACAAACAATCACATCACTCAATTCTTATTTAGGTAATGTTACAGCATATAATAAGTAAATTTATTATTTTAATACTATTTTTATAGAGTATTGCAAGCAATGTCAACAACAATCATCAGCTTTCATATGTCAATATTTCTTTCCACTTGCTGATTGCTCAACTGGAAAATCTTACAAGGCTACCAAGGAAGACTGCCTCCTCATAAGTACAGGTGTTTGTTCAGACCTGTGGACACTAGCCAACAACTTTAGCTATGGCTCACTCTTACCTGATTGTTCTACACTACCAAATGGTATGATAGTAATCTTATTACTAATAATTTATGCTTTATAGCTGTCAACGACTCATCTTCTGTCACAATTCTAATTGAAGACATGAATGATAGCAATGGTACTGAAGGTATAGCGTGCAGAGAAGATTTTGTTGAAATAGATTTAATCTGTGAGCCAAGATGTGACAGTTTTGAACAAACTGGTTCTCATTTAGACTCACAATTACTGATCTATTCGGAAGTTGTTGCAACCAGTATAGCCCTAACTTTCTGCATTATTGCAATTATTGTTGCTGTAAAGGAATATAAGATATTGTTAGTGATTATACAATCTATCACAAGTCATAACATTATATCACTGTATCATTATAGGCTAGCATATCCTTCTATATTGGTACTTTTTCAAGTCATAGACGTGACTGTATTGGGTAAATTGCATTGTAGTCTTATGTTCATTTATGCATCCATATTTATAGTCATAGTACTAATCATAACTGCTATTGATCGGTATGGATTATACTGCAGTTCAGTTAGTCTATTGGAGACATTAAAAAATCCAACTCCTTTTTGCAAATTTTCAGGTAAAAGTTTAACCACTTATCTAAAACTTAATTTTCAATGTAGGAGTTATAATTCATTATACTTATGTAAATATGGCACTGTGGTGGTTCTTTCATGTTGCTATATTCTTTCACAAAGTATTGTTTCCCTTCCAAGCAAATAGATTTGAAAAGTTGGGACGTAACAAGTACATATTTGCAACTGTAACTATATTATGTGAGTTTTATTGCATTTATTAATTTTAAAATAATCCATTTCCTATATAAAGCTATACTACTTCCACTGCCAGCTGTTATCATTTGCCTTACTGTTGACAAATTCAAATATAATGTCCGTCGTTTTCCAACAAATCTTTGCAGCAGCAGAGGTGACATGAGGTTCTATTCTATAACACTTCCAATGGATGTACTATTTGCTACTGGAGTTATAATGTTGATTATAGTTCTTTGGACTATGAGAAATGTATGTACACTAAAATATTGATTTTATAAATACTTTAATTTTGTTAATAGAAAACAACTTTCTTGAATAAAAAAAGTCATACTAAGCTAAGCACTGCTGAGAAAAAAATCCTATTGGTTTTTACAGTTTTTACTATTTTTGGTGCTTTTACTATAGGGCATGAAAGCAGCACAGATGCAACATCTGACAAGTTTGAAGCAGCTTTAGAAGAATATTTTGAATGTGAAGCATTTGGTCACATCCCTGGAAAGTGTGACAGAGGAACAATTGAAAAGATCCGCAGGCCTTACTTCAGTGCTATTGCATACATACTAATGAGTTTGATACCGTTGAGCATTTTGAACTTCATACTTAAGTGGAGCTCAGTTAAAAGTGCTAGAAATAAAGTTGTAAATTTGACAAAGAGGTGTTTCAGTTTTTTGCATCGTGCCTGTGAAAGTGTTCCTGATGAGTTATCATCAAAATCAGATAAAAGTACAAATAGTAAGAACTCTGCTGTATAACTTGACTTCACTTTATGCTAATAATTTGGACCTTTAACTTCTGTGTGCCTATATGTGATTGCTTTATACCTGTTTTTTAGCATTAAAAACTTCCTTAGTACTGAAACGAAATGCTGAGTAATGAGCACTTTAAAAATTTTTGCCTTCACAATTACTGTATAATTATATCATTTACATGAAAATAGTTACACAATAATATTAATGATATACATCAATGTCCTTGTGTTTACATAAAATCGTTATACAATAAGATTATCAATAACTAAATTTTCTGTGTATCTATAATGTCCTTGTGCTAGATCTATATGACATAACCCTAAATTAATCAGTCTATAGATTAATAAAAGAAGGCGTGCCCTGCATGCATGTACACAGATGACTATATGTACTTCCTGGTGAAGCTAGGTCTAAGTGTCAGCTACAGAAAAAATGTGCTGCTGGAATAGAAATATTAAGAAGAATTATGCCATAGGAAAGAAGATTGAGAACATTGCTTTTATTGTCACTATTGTCATAGTGCTGGGCTTATTCACTCTCCCAATAATAATCTATTATACTTCAGTGAGTTAATATTATTTTTTAAATGTAGCAAATAAAATATTTATTAACTTATATGCAATAGACAATATAATTTTGGGTAGAAATAGATTTGAATCTAATATGGGTCATGCATGGGTGGCTACATTCATCTTTGTGTATTCAAAATGATCAAAATCTTGAATCTACATCTCCAAAATACTACAATCCATATTTTTATTGTAAGCAATGTATTCTCTGACAGTACAATTACTGTCTAGCTACATAGTTTGCCTGAAATAAATAGGTTCTCTTGTGTTTCAAAGGTACTCCTAGTCACAAGCATACTGGGATGACAATGACTAATTGAATTTGTTTTCATATGGCTTCATTAAGCATGCAGGATGTTATAGTAGTTACGTTGTACACCTAGAGTAAATGAACGAAATGTGCCAGCCAGACATGATTATTTTAGTTTGGCAACTGAGCCATGTGAGTAATTGGTATATATAGACTACATAAAGATTTATTTTATTATTTATGCATTGCCATCTACCTGTCTGGCAGGTGTTATGGGTTATAATGGGTATTAACACCAGCCAGACAGGAAGATAGATATCTAATTAAAACTAACCACAATGAGTCCCTACTCTTAGCTATGGCTTTATTGGTTTACTTGTCCAGCCACTTTGTCAAAACAAGTGACAGTACTATAGAACATGCATATTTGCAGGCATATACCACCCCACTGAACATCAAAAATTGCTATGGCAATAAGCACTCGCCATAGTATAAGCATAGTAATAGCTTCTACATTCAATTGGATGGCCATTTACATAATTGTTAATTTTTGTAAAGAGGTACCACACGGACACCTTTAACAATGCCAGCATCAATTATACTGGATTTCATAGCAATATCAGTGGAATAAGCCAAAACTTTACCAGACTATCATGGAGTCAGGATAATGATGCCTCAGAATGTCATGAGTATATTGGAACTGCTTGTAAAAACTTCTTACATCAATGGTTTCAATGTACCATTGGAGAAGGTGAATTGAATATTGGAGTAAGTCAACAAGAACAAAATCAACATGAACAGACAATTGGATCACTCAATAATTATTTAGGTAATGACTTTGGCTTATAAATTTTTCATTAATGTTAATTATAGAGTATTACAAGCAATGTCAACAACAATCATCAGCTTTCATATGTCAATATTTCTTTCCACTTGCTGATTGCTCAACTGGAAAATCTTACAAGGCTACCAAGGAATACTGCCTCCTCATGAGTATAGGTGTTTGTTCAGACCTGTGGACACTAGCAAACAACTTTAGTTATGGCTCACTCTTACCTGATTGTTCTACACTACCAAATGGTATGATAATCATTGTATCCATTACTAATAATTTATACTTTATATAGCTTCCAACAATTCATATTCTGTTATAATTCCCATTGAAGGCATGGATGACACCAATGGTACTGATGGTATAGTGTGCAGAGAAGATTTTGTTAAAATAGATTTAATTTGTGAGCCAAGATGTGACAGTTTTGAACAAACTAGTTCTCATTTAGAATCACAATTATTGATCTATTCAGAAGTTATTGCAACCAGTATAGCCCTAACTTTCTGCATTGTTGCAATTATTGTTGTTATAAAGGAATATAAGATATTGTTAGTGACTATATAGTCTATGACAAATCACAACATTATATCACTGTATCATTATAGGCTAGCATATCCTTCTGTATTGGTAGTTTTTCAAGTCATAGACATGACTGTATTGGGTAAAGTGCATTGTAATCTTATGTTCATTGTATACATCCATATCTATAGTCATAGTATTAATCATAACAGCTATTGATCGGTATGGATTATATTGTGGTTCAGTTAGTCTATTGGAGACATTAAAACATCCCTCTTTTTTTTGCAAATTTTCAGGTAAAAATTTAACCATTTTATCTAAAACTTTACTTTTCAATGTAGGAGCTGTGTCTCATTACGTTTACATAAATATGCCATTGTGGTGGTTCTTTCATGTTGCTATATTTTTTCACAAAGTATTGTTTCCCTTCCAAGCAAATAGATTTGAAAAGCTGGGACATAACAAGTACATATTTGCAACTGTAACTACTTTGTGTGAGTTTTATTGCATTCATTAATTTTAAAATAATCCATTTCCTTAATAAAGCTATACTACTTCCATTGCCAGCTATCATCATTTGCCTTTCTGTTGACAAATTTAAATATAATATCAATCGTTTCCCACCAACTCTTTGCGGCAGCAATGGTGCCATGTGGTTCTATTCTATAACACTTCCAATGGATGTACTATTCGCTGCTGGAGTTATAATGCTGATTATAGTTCTTTGGACTATGAGAAATGTAGGTACACTGAAATATTGATGCTATGAATATTTTACTTTTGTTAATAGAAAACAACTTTCTTGAAAAAAAGAAGTCATACTAAGCTAAGCACTGCTGAGAAAAAAATCCTATTGGTTTTTACATATTTTATTATTTTTGGTGTTTTTAATATAGCGCGCCAAAGCTACATAGACGCAGGATCTGAAAAGTTTGAAGCAACTTTAGAAGAATATTTTGAATGTGAGGCATTGGGTCACATCCCTGGAAAGTGTGACAGAGGAACATTTGATAAGATCCGTAGCCCTTACATGGGTGCTGTTGCATATATACTAATGAACTTGATACCATTGAGCATTTTGAACTTCATACTTAAGTGGAGCTCAGTTAAAAGTGCTGGAAACAAAGCTGTAAATTTGATAAAGAGGTGTTTCAGTTTTTTACATCGTGAAATAGCTTTTGTAACTTCTTGTGAAAGTGTTCCTGATGAGTTATCATCAAAATCAGATAGAAGTACAAATAGTCAAAACTCTGCTGTATAACTTGACTTCACTTTATTCTATTAATTTGGACCTTTAACTTTTGTGTGCCTATATGTGATTGCTTTATACCTGTTTTTTAGTATTAAAAAATTTTTGAGTACTGAAATGAAATGCTGAGTAATGAGCACTTTCAAACTTTGCCTTCACAATTACTGTATAACTATTGTTTACATGAAAATAGTTACACAATATTATTAATTACACACATCAATGTCCTTGTGCTTACATAAAATCATTATACAATAAAATTATCAATTACTAAAATATTTTCTGATAAATCTACAATGTCCTTGTGCTATATGACATAACCCTAAATTAATCAGTCTATAGATTAATAAAAGAAGGCGTGCCCTGCATGCATGTACACAGATGACAATATGTACTTCCTGGTGAAGCTAGGCAAGTGTCAGCTATAGAGAAAAGATGTGCTGCTGGAAAAGAAATAAACAAAAAAGTTTTGCTATAGGAAAGAAAATTGAGAACATTGCTTTCATTGCTACTCTTGTCATAGTGCTGGGCTTGTTCACTCTCCCAATAATATTCTATTATACTTCAGTAAGTCAATATTATTTTTTATAAATGTAGCAAATAAAATTATTATTAATTTATATGGAATAGATAATATAATTTTGGGTACAAATAGATCTAGATTTAATTTGGGTCGTGAGTGTCCACATTCATCTCTGTTTATTTAAAATAATTTATAGATCTTGAATCTACATCTCCGAATTACCACAATGCATATGGTATTGTTAGCAATGTTTTCTAGCTACATATTTTGCCTGAAATGAATAGGTTCTTATGCGTTTAAAAGGTACTTCAGTCACAAGCATACTGGGATGACAGTGACTAGCCACAATTTGTTGCCATACGGCTCACTGAACATGAAGGATGTTTTGGTAGTACACTCTACATTGTTTCCTAGAAAAACCAGTCAAGTGTGCCAAACATGTTGTTCCTTTTGGTTTGTTAACTCATTTATGTAAGTAATCTATAGTAGGCATGGTAAGATTTAGGCATAGTAAAATTTTGGCGATAGCTTCTAAAGAAACATCTTGGCAATAGATCTAAATATTAAAATTAACTATATAAATGGATGGCCAATTATACACCTGTTAATTTTTGTAAAGAGTTATGGCACGGACACCTTTAACAATGCCAGCATTTATCACACTGGATTTCAAAGCAATATTACTGGAATAAGCCAAAACTGCACCAGACTATCATGGAGTCAGGATAATGATGCCTCAGAATGTCATGAGTATACTGGAACTGCTTGTAGAGACTTTTTACATCAATGGTTTCAATGTACCATTGGAGAAGGTGAATTGAATATTGGAGTAAGTCAACAAGAACAAAATCAACATGAACAGACAATTGGATCACTCAGTCCTTATTTAGGTAATCACTTTGGTTTATGAATTTTTCATTTTAATGTATTTGTAAGAACACTACAAACAATGTCAACAACAATCATCAGCTTTCATATGTCAATATTTCTTTCCTCTTGCTGACTGCTCAACTGGAAAATCTTACAAGGCTACCAAGGAAGACTGCCTCCTCATAAGTACAGGTGTTTGTTCAGACCTGTGGACACTAGCAAACAGCTTTAGCTATGGCTCACTCTTACCTGATTGTTCTACACTACCAAATGGTATGATAATAATCGTATATTACTAATATTTATACTTTATATAGCTGCCAATGACTCATCTTCTGTCACACTTTCAATTGAAGGCATAAATGATACCAATGGTACTGATGGTATGGTGTGCAGAGAAGATTTTGTTAAAATGGATTTAATGTGTGAGCCAAGATGTGACAGTTTTGAACAAAGCTCTCATTTAGACTCACGAATACTGATCTATTCA